ATTAGAAAATTTACAGGATCTGCAATTACTGTAATTATTGTTGAATTTTCATTAAGGAAAAATATAAACAAAGCCTAATAAAATCAGAGAAAAATTAAATATTTAGGAGTTTTGAATGCTATTCCGAATCAAGAAGCATCTACAGTTGTAAAAGTCCTCGTCAATAATGTTTTTACTAGGTGGTTGCTGAAATCTCATAGAAAATTGCACATCGAAGAAATGTTGGATCGGATGTTTCAATCATGACCATGGGATTGGTTGCTTTCGCTTCTGCATCGTTATTACTTTTCAGATAAAAAAAAACCAGGTAAATACCATGCCAATATTCAATTTCAGAATCAAAACTAAAACCTTTCGGTAAATTCTAAAATAATCTGCTCTAAAATAAATGCTCATAACTTGTTTATTATCCAACAAAATACCTAACTAAAGTGATATATTGATTAAAAAATAATTACATTTTCTACAAAATAACTTTGAAGCGATGCTCGTACTCGAATATCTTCTAAGCTATGACGCTCCGAATTTGTAAGTTTTCCACATACCAGCGGCAACTTTAATTTTCTCTGTCTGGCAAATAAAACGGATTCTTGCAAGTGCAGCAATTTCTCAGGATGATGATTTTTAGTTGAAAACAGTTGTAAATGAAAAAGCTTTTGAATTTAGAATCCTCTCAAAAACAATTTATAATTCACAAAAAAGACCGTTATAATGCCATGTAATGTTTGTCACAAGGAGGACAAAATATCTGTGATATTTGAACTTCCCTAACAAAGGATCCTTTGCTTTGAGCACATGAATTTTACTCGTTCAAAACCGTTCTGATATTATTCGGGTTGTCTTTGAAATTTTACAGAAAGAATTTCACTGGGCCATTCGGGTGTTTACTATTCCCCCATTACAGTTATCCATTTCGTTTTATTTTAAAATATCCAAAACTTGTTTTATTCCAAAAAAAATAAAAATATCTTGTATATTCATTCTCCTTGTTCATATAAATATTCAAAACTTCAATTGAAACTTTTTCCCCGGCTTTTCCAGTTTTGACGTGAGTTATGTTTTAAATTAAGCAACTTATGTTTTTAAAAAACTTTATTACTTAATAAATAACGTGTGAACTCAGTGAAGCGAACTAAAGAACTAAACTATTATTGCTCTGCTCGAATTTATATAAAAGAATAAATGCTGAGCTAGACTATGACTAAACTAAACTTTTACATTATTTTTACATTTCTTCTTCCTGCAATAATAATATAATAAAAGCACTGCGATTATAATAATGATTATAATAATTAAAGTTACCGATACACTAGTGTTTACAACATCAAATTTCCTTAATGGATGAACAGTTAGTGTTTTAACATTTTTCATATCTCATGAATGTTATTTAAATCAATTTCTCTTAACTCTAAAGGTTCTACATTTTGAACAAGAGTTTCATTGATATTCATCGATGGCAACTTTAATCTAAGATTAATTGTATAAGCTTTTTGCGAATCATAATATTTATTTCTTATGCTAAGTTTACAATCCATTGGTAGAATCAGAACAGGTTTATCTACTGATTCTATCGTATTCTGATTGGGACATTGAAAATCAATTTTTTTTTGATTTTTCGGAATGATAATGATAGAATTGTCACTTAATTGCGTTACAGAAGTTTCTTGATACTTTACTGGTATCAATAAACAATCATTAGTCAAATTTATGGTTTCTGATATGCAAGGCTCATTTTTATTTAGTAACTTGCTTGGGCATAAAAATAGATCTTCTATTTTTTGACAGTTTTCTCTTAAATTGAAAAAGTCATTATTTGATTTTAACAAATAAGGATTATTTATTGGTGTTATTTTTCCATTGATTGGGATAGGATAGACACGATAGAGTATATATGGTTTGTCAAAGATTCAAGGTATGGCAATATAGAAAATTATTAAGTCTTTCTTTATTGTCACATCAGCATGTGCGACTTCATAATATTTGATTATGTTATCAAATGGAATTCGCGTTTTTGGATTTAATTTTACAATTATTCTTTGAAGTTCTTGATATTCAAGGATGCTATGATGCATGATATTTATCTCAGCAAAATTAATAGCAACTTGAGCATTTGTGCGAATGTCATTGATGACTCTTATATTATTTTCTAGGTTATCTAGTAACATAATATAGTACATAGTAGTAGACGTTGATTGAGTCATTCGTGTGAGGTCATTAATATGAGTCATAATTTTCTGTTGATTTGTTTCGACGTTACTCAACTGAGCATCAATGTCTTTTGTTAATTGTTTCAGGATTGTCTGTGTGGATGACAAATCTTGGTGTAAAATTTCTTGATTACTTTGCAGAGTTCGGATATAATTACCGTATCGTTCTCCGTCGTCAGCATCTAGAGTACCGTACAGATATTTATGTATTTTTCCTATGAAATTTACTAATCCTCTTTTAATTCGTTTTTGAGGGGTCGTATAATGATTCAGAAATGATTCAATTGATTGTGTTTGGTCAAGAAGGTCATATACTCGTGTGAGTAAAAGATTATATAAGGGCGTGTCTAGTTTTTCCAAAGTTCTGTTAACTTGTAAAAGTGTTCTTTGTGTTAACTCTAAACAATTCCTTATATTAGTAAGGTTAATATGATAATATACATAATGGTGACTAGTTATTATATAACTGGTTCCTTGATAAATCGGTAATAAAGGATTTATTAGTTTTTCGATCTTGTACTGAGCGTTGAGCATTGGAAGTACAAAGATGATTCCCACGAGGATGATCTTCATTTTTCCTGAAAATTATAAACGTCTTTTAACATCTTTAGGGTGTCTTTGACCTTTAAATGTTTTTATTTTATACTTGGGTTCAAGTTTTTGTGTCAATTTTTGAGGTGTTGCTAATAACTATGTAGTAGCTTTAGGGATCTCTGGATCATTTTCCCATTTTTCATTTAACTTACTTAAAACATTGGCTTTCTTTGCATTGAGTTTTAAGTGTATAGTTTCATTAAGTTGCTTAAAAGTTTCTGCTAATTCGTGTATATAATCCGTTTGTATTTGATTCAAGTTTTTCTCGAAATTCAATTGATAATTGAGATTACCTTTCACTATTTGAAATGGTGTATAATCATGTGAAGAATGTATGCTATTATTATAATTTAATATAGCAATATCGATCAATTCTTGGATAGTCTTGGAACGATGTTTATTTCTAAGAGCTACAAGGCTTTCCTTCAATGTTGAATGGAACCTTTCTATTGGGGAATTAGAGTTAGGGTTGTAAGGTGTAACAAAATGTAACTCAATTTTGTAAGTCTTACAAAGGTCTTGGATTAAACTACTTTTAAATGCTGGACCATTATCAGTAGTGATTTTACTAGGTGTTCCATGGTGTGAGAAGAATTTAATCAAGTTTTGACAAATCTCAATTCCGTTTTCGTTAATAGGATACGCAGTTGTGAATTTTGAGAAATTATCTATTATTGTTAGGTATTTTTGACCAGATACTGAGTATGTATCTATATAGATATGCTCAAAAGGTTTTGAACCTGTTGGGGTAGGCTTATATATAACCTTGTAAGGATGTCGATCATATTTCGTTTTCTGACAAGTTTCACAACTATTAATGAAATTAATTACGTCGCGTTCAAGGCTTGGCCAATAATATGACTGCTTGATATTTTTGATGTTTTCCGTTATACCTCGATGTGATGTTTTTGTTGTGTGATATCTTTCGATTATCTCCTTTTGTTCTTCTTGATCAGTTACATCTTCAAGAAGGATATTGGAAATCACAAGTTTAAATGTGTTATTCCTAAAAGTTTCTTGGAATATCCTCAAAACAAGAGGTTCTAACTCTTTATAAGGGAAATGTAGACAATAAGTGTCTGGTGCTAGATAGTCTCTAAATAGTTCTTGGATTTCTCTTGTAATTGGATTTTCATTAATGAATATTATTGTTCTTTTCTTTGTTTCGAACAATTTCTTTGTTGTCAGATACGGTTTATCTTTAGTTGTCCATTTGAAAATTATTTGATTTTTGTGAGTATTCACACTTTTTTCCACATATGGTGCTCCTAAGATAGGATTTTCACTTGCTGAATGGACTGTTTCTGTTTCAGATCCACTTTTTTCTGGTAATTTTTTATTTCCATTAGGCGATCCTTTATGTTCATTGGATGGTCCTGGTTTTGGTGAATTATTCTTATTTTCTTAAGATTGTCCTGGTTTAGGCGATCTATTTTCTTTAGATGGTCCTGGTTTAGGTGATTTGTTTTTATTTACAAGAATTACCTTTTTACCATCAGGTTTGATTTGAATGTCTGATATTATTTTAATTTTTGAGCTTTTCTTAGCTTTTTCCACTTTCTTTGGAACAATTTTCTTTGGTGGGTCGAACAAGTCTTCTTGTGTATCAAAGAAATGCTTGACTTTCTCTCTCCATGAATATTGGTCTTCGTCTTCTTTCTGAATTTCACTCTGACTTTCACATACAGCTGACATATGCGATGATGGTGATTTAATTATACTAGTAGGAAAGGTGTCTAAAGGTGGACGCGAAAGAGCATCTGCATTAGAATTTTTTGTTCCTTTTTTGTATTGAATAGTATAATCGAGGGCCTTAGAATAAAAGGGGTATAAGTACACTTTTAAACAAATCTGAGATAAGTGCAGGGATCGATACCTAAAGTTCATATTTGTTTGGTGTTGAAGAGATACAAGTGATTTTTAGGCTTTGTGCGCCATCTATTAGCGAGTAGAAATATCATGTAGGTATCTGAAAGCAGAAATTTGCTCACAATAAAACGGATGCAAGTGCACTTGTACCCATTTTATTCCAACCTTTGTATTGTTATTAAACTGACAACAAGGTTTCTGGAGCTCGGTGTTTGTGTTTTTTAAGTGTTTTTTTTTGTGGTTACCTGTCGTTATTATATTATATTTACTTAAGTTAACGTTGAAGTGCATAAAGATTCACTGCTGTCTTTCTAAATTACATGGGAAAGCATGGAAATCGAAATTTCAGAAGGTAAGCAAGGTTAGGTTAGTGAACAATTTGACCATATTTTAAAATCGCCGCTAATAAACTTTGGGGAAATCAAAATTTACCCGTTGAATGTTGTAGATTAGATTATTCTGTAAAAAAATAAGGGGTTTTGTTTTTTATTTCAGACGAACTTTCCGATCCATATGCCACCGATGAAGAAAGTGATTACATACCTGAAAGTGATACTCCGAATGATGATGTAGATGGACCTGATAGTGATAAGTCCAGTGATGATGTGGATGGACCTAATGATGCTGCTCCAAAAATAAAATTGAAAACCAGAAAAAGGAAGCGCAATGAAACTGCCTGGAAAATCAACCAAGAGAAGCTGCTGAGAAATTCAGGAAAAGCATACATTGGCCGTAAGAATGAGCCACATACCCAGCGTAGTGTTAAGCCTTATGAACATACTTGCAGATACAAGTGTAGCCAAAGTATTTCCGCAGAAGAAAGGAGAGAAATATTTCAAAGGTTTTATGCTTTGGCCAACTACGATCTTCAAAATTCTTTTGTTTCTTCTTGCATAAAGAAAAAAGGCGTTCAGAGAAAGACAAATAACGCTACTACTAACAAACAGTTTAGTACAGAAATATTTCTTCTTAATAAGCGAGTCTGTAAGATGTTTTTTCTCAAAACACTTGACATAAGCAACAAAAGATTTACAACGGTTTGTGCAAAGACAGATACTGTTGGTATATGCACCAAGGACTAGAGAGGTACCGGCCCTGGTAGGAAAATGGAACCTGCACAGCGAAAATTAGTTATGGAACACATACATATGTTCCCTAAATACATATCTCACTATTCCAGAAAATCAAATTTAAATACCCGATATCTGTCACCAGAGCTGAATGTAAAAAAAATGTTTAGTTTGTACAAGGAATATTGCATAGAAAAAAATGCTACGCCTGTGAAAGAGTCTTATTACAGATATATATTTAATACACAGTTTAATCTCAGATTTCACCGCCCTAACTCTGACACGTGCAGTAAGTGTGATACCTATGCAAATATTATTAAACATTCTCAAGATGAAACTAAGATCAAGGAGGCACAAATAAAACAGGAAGTCCATCATAAAAAAGCAGAGAAGGCACTGGCCACTAAAAAGTCAGATGTTCTAGATAATAAAGATTCTGCTGATACATGTGTGATATGCTTTGATCTTCAGCAAGCTCTACCTACCCCACTCATTGCAACATCGAAAGTATTTTACCTCAGGCAACTATGGACCTATAATTTCTGCATTCATAATCTGGTAACCGGCAAATCGCACATGTATATATGGAACGAGACAGTTGCATCCAGAGGATCACAAGAAATTGGCTCATGTTTGATTCATTTCATTAATGAAGTTTTACCTGATAATATGACTAGGATAATAGCTTATAGTGATTCCTGCAGTGGGCAAAATAAAAATAAAAATATAGCAAAACTATTTCTTTCAAGAAATTCATCACAAATTTTTGGAGCCAGGTCACACGTTTATGGAGTGTGACCAGGATTTTGGTATTATTGAGAAAGTTAAACGGAAAATTCCGCAAATTTTTATCCCAGAACACTGGAGGACCGTGATTCAAGAATCCTCTAAGAAGTTTACTGTCCATGAGATGAAAAGGGAAAACTTTTATAGTTTCGCTCAATTGAACCAGATCATAAGTGACCCTAAAAAAAATACTGATAACCATGTTATCAAATGGAGGGAAATTCAGTACTTCTTTTATTCAAAAGCAGCACAGTCATTTTCGTTTCAGCATAAACCAACATTGGATAAAATAATGCCTTTTTATACATGCATGTGCCCCTACAAAACAACAGGAAGGCCAAGTTTAAGCTTTCAAAATGCATTTTCCGTGCTGAACGAATGTGGTTTAAAAATAAAAGAAGCGAAATGGAAGAACTTACAATCCTTACTTGATTTTATTCCCCCAATATACCACGAGTTTTATAACAATATTCAATATGAAGGAAAAGGCAACGCTAAAAATTTAGGAAAAAAAAGTAGTTCAACTAGTAAGCAGGCTATTGGAAAAGGTAAAAATAAAAAATCAGCAAAGAAACCAAAAGTACAGTCACCAGAGGAAACTGAAGAAGAAGAGGATGACGATGTTCCCGAAGATAGCGACTTTTTATATTCAGATGATGAATAGTGGTTCGTTTTATAAATATTTTTAGGCTATAACCTGTTTCTTGAGTTTCAAGTTGAATAAAGAGCCTTTTAAATCAAATTTAGTTGCAAATTTTTCTACTTTAGAACACAATAAAGTTTAGAATAAAATGGGTATAAGTACAATTTCTAAAAAAATTTGAAAATTATATGAAATTTCAAAAAAATAACTGAAATCCCAGACAGAATTACCAATGCAACTTATAGACCAAGATAAAACTATTTTCTAGCTTTTTTAGCGACTTTTTAAAATTCAATTAACTTTGAATGCAATTATCTCAAAATGTTAAATATTGTACTTATACCCCTTTTATTCTAGGGGCCATACTTGAAGTTTTAGTGTGCCTCAGGGTTCAGTTCTTGGCCCTATTTTGTTCCTGCTATTTATTAACGACATTGCTAGTCTGGATATTAGCGGCAAAGTTTGTCTCTTCGCAGACGATACTAGTTTCACTTGGAGCAACCCGGATATTACGGAACTCCATAGAACCGTATCTAGTGACTTAATCACCATCAAATCATGGTGTGACTCAAATCTCCTCTGCCTCAACCTCTCTAAAACCAAAATTTTATCTTACAGAGCTTCGCTCCAATCTGTAGTACTGGATAACAATACCATGGAGGCCGTTGATTCCGTGAAATTCCTGGGGCTTGTTGTTGATAAATCTCTAAAGTGGGACCTGCATATCGACGCCTTAGCAAAGAAATTAAGTTCGGCCTGTTTTGCACTGAGATCTGTTTCCAGGGAGCTTAACTCGGCAACTTGCAGGATGGTATATTATGCTCTTTTTGAGTCGCATTTGCGTTACGCCCTTCCATTCTGGGGCACGTGTTGTGCGTCTCAATTTGAACGCATTTTTAGACTGCAGAAGAGAGCTCTTCGTTATTCTTTGAGACTTGGTAGTAGAACTCACTGCCGGGAATTTTTTATCAAGTCTAGTATATTGACTCTTCCATCTTTATTTATTTTCGAATCCGTCTGCTTAATTCGTAAGCACTTAATATCAGCTATCTCAGAGAGGCCATCTCACAATTATCCACTGAGGAACGCAGAGTTGGATCTTTATCTGCCAATCCCGCGCTCAGAGTTAGTTAAAAGTTCAATACTTTATAATGCTAAAAAGATGCATAATCATCTACCGCCTAACATCAGGTCCATTGCATCTTTTCTCGAATTTCGCAGGGCGTTGAGGGTGTATTTACTGAGGAGAGCCTTGTACACAGTAAGCGAGTTGTTTATGGTTTCCTAATTCTAAATTTTGAGCAGCTTACTCACAGGTTTTGTTTTTGTTCCTGTATCATGATAGGTTATTATAAGTTATTGTTTGTTTGTTTTTTTAGTACCTATAATATGCTTACTCGCACAGTATAAGCAGTTAGACCTAGATGTTTGTTTGTTGGTTTTAATCAAATTTTGACCATGAACTAATTGTTCAAGTGTTTGGTTTTGTCTGTGCTTTTGCATACAATAAAGCAAATTCTTTCTTTCTTTCTTTCTAGTCTCCATCGGACTAACTTTGAACCTGGGTCTTTTACTGAAAAGAGCCACTGAAGGGGTTTGTGATCAGTCATGATAGTGAATTTTTGACCAAATAAGTAGGGTCGAAAGTACTTTGTCGCCCATACAATTGCGAGAAAATCTTTTTCTATAGTAGAATAATTACATTCTGCTTGATTGAGGGTTCTACTTGCATAAGCTATAGGTAGATCAGTTCCAATAGGACCTTGAGAAAGAACTGCGCCTATTGCGTAGTTTGAAGCATTTGTTGTAAGGACAAATGGTTTTGAAAAATCAGGATATTTTAATATTGGATCGTTCATTAAAATATTCTTACAAAGATTGAATGCATCGACAAATTGTTTCTCATGAATTATCTTCACATTTTTCTTTAAACATTGAGTTAAAGGTTTGGTGATCTTAGCAAAGTTTTTAATGAATTTCCTGTAGTATCCTACAAGTCCTAGAAAAGATTTTATTTCTTTTGGTGTTTTTGGAATTTTAAATTTCTTTATTGCTTCTACTTTCTTTTCATTTGGTTTTATACCATCTGCGGTTATTGTATGTCCAAGGAATTTAACAGTTTTGTGGAGAAATTCACACTTATCTAGTTGAATTTTCAAATTGTATTGAATAAGTCGTTCAAATACTTGTCTTAAAGAATCAAGGTGTTGTTGTAGTGATGTTGAGTATATGATTATGTCGTCCATATAAACTAAACATATTTTACCAAGTAGTTCTTTCAATACGTTTTCGATAGCTCTCTGAAATGTGGAGGGGGCATTTTTCAAACCGAAGGGCATTCGTAAAAACTCGTAATGTCCGTGCTCTACATTAAAGGCTGTTTTTGGTATGCTTTTAGGATCCATTTCTATCTGGTGAAATCCGCTTGCTAAATCTAAAGTTGTAAATTATTGCGATCTTCCAAGCTTATCTAATATATCCGCTATATTAGGTAATAGATACCTGTCATCTATGGTTTTCTCGTTTATTTTACGATAGTCTATAACGAGTCTCCATTTTTTCTTTCCTGATGCGTCTGCTTTTTTGGGCACAATCCAAACAGGTGAGCTCCAGGGTGAACTCGAAGGTTGTATGATTTTATCTTCTAACATTTTTCCTATTTGGTTTTTTACTTCTTCTTTATGAACATGAGGGTATCTGTAGCTTTTGGTATGTATTGGAATTTCGTCCGTTGTGTTAATAACATGCTTTACTTGACTTGAAAAAGTTAAGGTATCTCCAGGTCTATGCAAAATTTTATTAAATTTTTGTATAAGTTTGAAGAGATGAAGCCGTTCTTCAGCATTCAAGTGTTCATGTCTTATTAAAGATTTTAAGTCTACTTTTTCAGAGTCTTTCATTTGTAAAGGTTTTACATGTGACGTAGTTGTTTGTTTTTCGAAAGTTAAGATCTCAAAATTATTGAGTTCAATCGGTTCGAATGGTAAAGTTTCTTCAATATCACAATCTAAGACAAATGATCTGTCTGAGTGATTAAGAATATCGACAGTATAAGTATTGTCAACAATTGTCACTAATGTTGGTTGTATTTCAATAAATTCATCATGTACATAAGGTAATAGCCAAGTTGTATTATTTGGTAACTTAGTTTTAAAAGTAACCTATTGTATGGTTTTAGGAGGTATTTCAACTATGTATTGGCTGAAATTTTTCCTATATTGGAAAGGGATTTTTAAATATTCATTTACCAATAATTTATTTTTTAAATCAATATTTAAATTTAATTTACGAAGGTGTTTTATACCTAATATACCATCAAAATACTCATGAAATGGGTACAGAATGAACTCCAGGGGTTCAGATATGCCATAAGGTAATAGTAATGGAATGTCTGCTTTACTTGTAGTCTTTTTATTTCCTGCACAAGTTTGTAAAGTAGTTTTATAAGGTACAATTGATTCTGGAAATAGAGTTTCAGCTAATGAAGGTCTTAGTAAGGATGCATGAGATCCTGTGTCAATAAGTAGTCGAATATTATACTTAGAATTAGGAATATTAATATATGGTAAGCGATTAATTTGAAAGCTATTTAAACTTAAGCATGATTTTTTGTTTAATCCGAAGCTTGTAATTGAAAATTTTCCAATTGTTCAGCTAGAGTTTCATCAGTAGTTGAAGATTGGTCATTTTCATCATATTCATAGACTTGATTACCTGAATAATCAAATTCAGTATTTTCTTCATCATTATTTTCATCAACATGAGTTAATTCTTGAAACGTAAAGTTAGGAGGTTTTCCTGTTGACTGAAAAGGTTTTTGAGTATATCTTACAGTTGACATATTCTTTCTGGGTTGAACGCTTACTCCTGACATTGGTTGAGGGTAAGTTTGTTTAGAAGTTGACTGATTTTTATTAGTCTGATTTATAGGTTTAAATTGCTTTTGAGTCTTGAACTGATTAGTTCGACTTTGATTATTTTGGTAATTATTATTTGATTTTGAAAAATTGTTGCTGTTGATTTCAAATTTTTCGTTTGATTTTGATTTTGTAAAAATGAATTTTTGAAGTTATTTTGACTTATTAAAATTTCATAATTTGTAATAATGTCAATAGCAGTATCAAGATTCTGAGGATTCTGGACAATTAAGAGTGTTCTCAATTCACTAGAAATATTTGCCAGTAAATTTTGAGTTGCAGTTAACTCATTTTGATTTATCAAAATTGTTCGCGCTTCTATATTTGCAATGTCCGTACAAATTTTAGTATTTATTTTGGTAACTAAGGCTTTGAGTCTTTGAATATAGTCTTGTGTGGACTCATTTTTCTTTGTTAAAAATATTAACTGTTGTTGTAAGTTAGCTCGAGTGAGAGGATCACTGAACTTTTGTCTTAGGGCTATTTTAATTTCATCCCAAGTTGTTAAATCAGATCTGGTTAAAAGAAAATCTTCAGCAGATCCTGTTATTTTGGATTTTATTGCGAGATTAACATATTCCTGTTGTGAGACGTCATTATTGAAATATCTATTATGGAAGATATCAATTTGTTTGACAAATGCCTCTAAATGTGATGGAGTACCATCAAAAGTTTTTAAGAGAGTAACAGTTGATCTCAAAGCGTCAGCCATTTCGTTGTTTATTAATCTAAAATTATTTTCAATAGGTAATAAATTGTTGAAATTAAAATTATTAAAATCGTTAGTATCATGTGTTTCTAAACTAATATTAGAATATAAACTAGCTATTTCAAAATTAGGAAAATCGTCGGTTAAAAGGCGATCTTCTGAACTTGTTGAAGTTGAAGGTTGATTTGTTGATTGAGGTTGCTTTGCTCCTCGTTTTGGATTTCTTGGATAAGAAATTTCTTCTAAGATTTTCTTAGATCGGTCTCTAAATTTTTTCTTTTAGAGTTGTACAAGGTTTTGTACAAAATGTTTCATTTCATTTGGTTTATTAATTAAACCTTAATTTAATTTTGCAAAAGTGAAAACTTCACTTGTTTGAAATGAAAACAATGTCT